AAACACATTAGAATTCTCATAATCGAAAGCCAGCATCCACAATAAGGCAGCCACAGCAAATAAGCTTATAAAAATAGTGATCGGCATAGTAACAAGGCAAAAGAAGTGGTCCTGAAGGTGGAAATAAGCAACCTTGCAAAGTTAGCTTCATGCAGACCAGCAAGAAAGAACCAAAGCTTTACCACTTACAGCTGGAAAAATAAATACTTAAAATAAAACAAAATGCAACATCTATTATACTAATAACTGAAATTTAAATACAAAATACCAACCCATTGTATAAAATGTATGAAACCTGCTGTACCTGTACATAACTATATATCATATAAAAAGCTATTATGAAAACTATGTATTAATTAAAAGCACATATTTTTATGAACCAAAGATTTATGTAAAATTTCAAGAAAAACAACTTTTTGCTTGATAATATATTAACTTTAAACAAAAATCTTTCAATATTTTCATAAAGTAAACAAGTTCTAAGCTTGATAATATTCTGGATTTTCTATTTTATAAATGTATTTTTGAAAATGTTATAATTCTATATTAAAACAAATATATTTGTGACATGTTACACTTGATCTTAGCTAAAAGGCCAAGCAGCAATTTTTTGTGACATTTTAAAGTATAAATAAGATTTACTACAGCTACAAATATAAAAATGAAAAGTATATATAACCGAAAAAAAGAATGGTACATTAACTTTTCTGCCTATGAATCATTATTTTATACAACTTCATGAATCTATATGATTTTCCACAAAACAGAAAATTAGTAATTAGAATATCATCGTGTTTTCTATATGTGTTTTCTTTAATTATCACCTCTGGGGTAAAACAAAAAATAATTCACCTACAGAAAACTTTTTTAGGAAATCAGTAGGTGGATTATATGTGACAATTTTACCCCTAGAGAAGGCAAGTAATTATCATAAAGTTGAATATATAGCCAAAACATTTTTATATTAACATTCGTCTCCAAGGTTCCCAACTTTTCACTTTTCTTTTACTTTGATCAAAAATTATTTTATACTGCCCAAAGCTTGAGATGCTAGACTAGTTCAAATAAAGGGGGAATGTATGAGGGAATGAGGGAACAAGCCCAAGAAGAGAGTGGTGCTGATGATAATGGAATGAGGTAAAAAGAACAAAGGTAGAGCTGCTTTTATCAAAGACAACACACCTTTGGGAGCAAAGTGTAAATCTTGTTTTGTGATCTGGATAGATGATATAAAAGCATGGCTTATACATAAGTTTGATTAATCTTCTTAATGATTTAAACTCCTCTTACTGTTGGATTAACACTGTGTTTTTTGTTTTGTTATCAGTTGAATCTATTGGAGAGAAAAAACCCAAGAACAAGAAACTCTCAAATACTAAATTAATGTGAACTTTCCTTGGTTTGTTTTGGTTTTTACTGGTGATTGAACCCAGGGCCTTTACTCTGAGCTACATCCTTGGCCCTTTTTAAAATTCTTTATTTTGAGACCAGGGTCCTATTAAGTTGTTAAGTTGCCCAGACTGGCCTCAAACTCCTGATCCTCCTGCTTGAGCCTTTAAATCTAAAGGTAGAAAAAACCTTCTACTCACCACTTCAAGATGAGAGTTTGAGTTATATCTTTAATTTCACTTGTAAAGTTTTATGAATACATATATCCTATACTTTTTCTGAGTACTATAATGAGTATGATAATGGTATTCTTAATTATATAGTTCACAGTATCAATTCCAGAAGACATAAAATTTGGTATGAAAATATGTTTTGGCATATATTCAGCAGAATAAATGAGGTATATAAATCTCCAGATAATTTTCCACAGTGCTTTAAAATTTACAGTTTTAAATCTTAGAAAACATAGAAATGATATCTCTGGATAATTTTTATATCAATCATGGATGTGACAAATCTCTGTAGGCCAACTCAAGACTATCGAGCTGAAACCTCACTTGCCACTTATAAGATGTATAATCACAGATACTAACTAGTCAAAGCTTTGATTTCTAACTTATTGATTGATTGATTGATTGGTACCAGGGATTGAACTCGGGACCTTGCGCTTGCGAGGCAGGCACCAGACCACTGAGCTAAATCCCCGGCCCCTGATTTCTAACTTTTAGAACATGCTAATAATTGTACCTCCATCATAAATTTGTTCTGAGGATTAAATAAGACTATGTATGTAAATACAGCATAATGTGAATTTCTGTAATACAAATTATATTATATTCAATGGTAAATGAGGCAAATTTGTCACTGTATTACAGAAGCTGGATTCAAGTGTACTTTTGGATAGCCTGTTAATGTTTTTGGGTGGTGCTGGGAATCAAACCCAGGGCCTCACGTATACCTGGCAGGCACTCTACTACTATGTTATACCTCCAGCCCTAGCCTGTTGATTTTTGAGCCACTAAGTGACAGTAGCTTAATAAAAAGTAATGAAGCCAGCTAAATAATAGAGCCAGGGAAGACTGCAAAGGAATTAAAAATAATTAGGTGTATTCAAATTTTATTACTCAATAAATGATATATAAACAAATACACCAGTCAATAACCTCATGTTTGTATCATTTCTTTACAGTCTTGAAGACAAGAAGGAACACATCACAGTTACCATTCAACCACTGATGCTACAAGGATCTGAGTGAGTGCGCATGCCTTGCATCTGATAGTCCAAGTACAGGACTCATGTGAACTGAGAGACACAAGAGCTATGTACTCAGTATTTATAGAATCACAGAAATAACTATTCATTTAAAATTGGTTCAATTACATACTCATATACTCATACCCTAGTTAATAAGCAATAATTTTTTGAAATGTTTAATTCTTTTTTAATCACCTTATAATGTACAGTAATGTATACAAAAACCATCTACTCCTATATAGCTTCTTTTTTGCTTAGTTTGGGCAGTTTGTCTCAGAACTTTGTACTGCATAATTCTCTCTGATCTCTGTTTATACCTGTTTATATTTCTTTAATTCATTACTTCAACCCTTCTTTCCATAGTTACCTTAAGCTTTTTTTTAAAAAAGTCCTATATTTGCTAGAATATTTATTTTATTCACTAAGGACAACATGCTTTTAGTTGTTCTAGTATTTTTACAGAATCATCACTGTTTTATTAATGCTCTAGTGAGAAAGCTTGCTTGGGTTTTAAGTTTAAATTTCAGAATCATTTATTTCCACCAAATTCTATCATTTTCAACGTGCAATACTGCAGGATGTGGGGCTTTTAAGGAATGGCTATGTTGTGCTAATGCATACATAGATAATGCATACATTGTGCTCTAAATAATCATTTAACATACTACTTGTTATAAAATAACTCAAATTTTGTTAAAAATAACAACTGAAAAAAAGCATTACCTCCATTTAGAAAGACTTGTCACATTCAAGGGTTAGTATCCATCCAATTATCAAAACCAAAAATTAAAATTTACATGTGTTTTGTTCTTTTTTTAATTTGAAATAGAGTTTCATTATGTATTCTAGGCTGGTCTTGAACTTGTGGCAATCTTCCTGCCTCAGCCTCCTGAGTGCTGGGATTACAGACAGGCGTGTGCCATCACACCCGGGTCTACATGTATTTTTAAAAATATTTCCAAAATTCATTTTCTCTGCTTGAGTTTAGTTTTAATTCTAAAAATTTATTTTCAAAACATAATTTAAATAGAGAAATACTGATCAAGTCTTAAAGAATAATGGTTTCTGGTAATTTATTATCTCAAATTTTCATTGCTAATAAGATTATAAATATGAATTAATCTGATATTACTGTGATTACTGTATTTTTCATAACAGACAGAACTAACTCAAGTCTCTAAATTTTTTCTTTTTTTTTTCCTTTGTTTTTTTTAAAGAGTAGGAAAAATTTATTGAGAAAGAAAGCTTCTGGCTAAGAGAGAAGGGGGACTGGAATCAAGACACTAAATTTTCTACCAGAGGATATAGAAATAAAGTAAAATTTTATCTAAATCCTCATGAAACATTTTTGGTTGAGAAAAAAAGCTATAAAAATCCAACTCTGATATAAGTACTAAGTACTCTACAAGTTTGACCAATGAATTGCTTATTTTTATTACGATGTGCTCTAGAATATGTAATTATAAGCTTTTAGATATATTTTTAGGGGTCCTGGGGATCAAACCCAGGCCTCAACACAAGCATTCTACCACAGAGCTACAACCCCTGTTCTACATATATATATATATTTTTTTTGGTACCAGGGATTGAACTCGGGTCCTTGCTCTTGCGGAGCAGGTGGTGGAACTACTGAGCTAAATCACTGGCCCTGCTCTACATATTTTAAAAGAAAATGGGATATATATTTGGATAGTATTGTGGTTACTATTTCTACTTCTAATTTCTTTCTTTCTTTTTTTTTTTTTTTGGCACTGGGGATCGAACTCAGGTCCTTGTGCTTGTGCAGCACGTGGCGAAACCACTGAGCTAAATCCCTGGCCCAACTACTTCTAATAATTATAAGTAAAAGCTAAATCTGTCTTTTTGGTATTGGGGATTGAACTCGGGACCCCTGCACTTGCGAGGCAGGCAGCGGAACTACTGAGCTAAATCCCTGGCTAAACCTGTCTTTTAAAAAAATAGACCTAGTGGTTTTGCCGCCTGCTGTGCAAGTGCAAGGACCTGAGTTGGATCCCTGGTACCAAAAAAAAAAAAAAAAAAAATAGACCTAGGGCCGGGGATTTAGCTCAGTGGTTCTGCCGCCTGCCTCAAGAGCACAAGGTCCCGAGTTTGATCCCCAGTACCAAAAAAAAAAAAATAGACTTAGCATATTTAAAAATACTGTAGAGAACAAAGTTTCATACACTTCTATCTACTGACAGAATTAGATATTTTTATAGGGACAAGTTTAAATTTTAATACAGTACGATTATCTTATTACAACAGTTTAATACCACAGTTCAGCTAGAAATAAATATCTGTAATTTTCATTTGCTGTTAATTAACTGATGCTTCAAAGTTTAAGAAAGATACTTACTGGCTGAAGCCTGAGATTGCATACGAGGTATTCCTCCATTTGGCACTTGAAAATTTGAATCACTTCTGCTGCTTTTCACTGAGTCAACTTGGGTATTAGATGTTCGAGACAGGTTTGGAAGACTGCGTCTTAGTTTTTCTACAATAATAAGAATTTTAATTTAAAAAAATCTAACCATTCTTTTAGGCAGAGAGAGAATTACAGTATCAATTAGAACTCAAAAACAAATTAAATATTCTACCATATTATAAAAGAGAAAAACAAAAAGTATTTATTTTAAAAAATCAACCCAGTTTATTAATAGGTAGGAGAAAACCCTTAAAAGACAACTACAAACTATATATTTAAATCTAAATCTAAATAAAGGTTGCTCCATGAGTAAATTAAAGCAAAAGTAACCTAACCAAGTAAAGTTAAATTTGCTTCCTTTTTTATTTTTGCATTGATAAACTATTAATAAAATGGTAAACGTGGCTAGACCATTTACTTATCTGAAATATAAAACCTTACCAAAACTATGTTCCTTTCACACTGAAATATGAAGGTTTTTTCCAAAAATATACTCACTATAAAATCTGCCAGGGCTGCAGAGGTAGCTCAGTGAGGAGAGCACTTGCCTAGCACGCCCAAGGCCCTAGGTTCAATCCCCAGTATCACTAAACAAAAAAAAACAAAACCCAAAACTGTCATATTTTACCTTCATTTTTAACATTGGTTGTCTGTAAATCTGTGGGATGACCTTGAAGTGAAAGGCGAGGTTGCTGTAAGCGGCTAATCATGGGCTGTGGGGACACTCTACTATATTCTATTCCCCGAGCTGGAGATCGTGAACGAGGTGAATTTCTAGGTGACTGCTTAGGTGATGGTCGAGGTGAATTGCGTGGTGATGGTGAAAACCTGTTAACAGCAGGGTATACTGCATGATGCATAGTGTCATCATCATCATCTAAACTTTGTGCATCAAGTTCCTGGTCACTAAATGTACCCCGTCTTGTAGAATTGCAAGATGAACCAGAACTGCGCCGAGACGTGGTAGCTGCATATTCTTGCCGAAGACCTGGCAACAATTAGTGTGTTATTTTATTTCTTTATATTTTCAAATACATAAATATTTTTAAAATTTAAAAGTAAAGATTATCATTGGGAAATTCAAGTAGGGTATAAAGGGTAAAGGAAAACTCTGCTTCTACTTTTAAATGTTCTCCCATAAAAGGATGCATAAATCAGATGTGAAGGTTATTTTAAAACTGAACAAAAATCTATAAATTTTTGCACAATTTCAAGATTTTCTTGACTCTGAAATCTAAATTACAAAGTAAGTAGGATCATAAATATAAAAGCATTTCTACTCCTAAAGACAGCAACTGCAATTCAGATTTGAGACTAACATTAACGGAACAGAATGTATCAGTGAGCAAATAAACTCTCTGGATACTTAATCCTTGGATTAAAACTGTAACAGCACCACCAATAATAATTTTTTAAAAAAGAGTCTGCATAATACTTTGGGCAAGTCCTGCTAAATATTGACAATCCAGGAAAAAGGATGCTACAGAGTGATATCAAACCTTTAAGTAATATATTTAACATAGAAAGTATTATCAACAAGGTTCCACAAACTTGTATATTAGAATCACCCTTGGGTATCTTTAAAACTATCAATTCCTGGGGGGTGTAGTTCACTGGTAGATTACATGCCTGGCATGCATGTGGGCTTGGGCTCAATCCCAGCCCTGTAAAAAAAAACAAAGCAAAACAAAGCAAAACAAAAACCACTAATAATTCCTGGGCCCACTTACCCTCCAGTCAGGTTTGGGAACCACAGTACTGAGTTACTTAAGTGTCTAGTTACAGCAAATATGGGACTTACGGTATTTAACAAAAGACAACAAGTCTGTAAAACAGCACTGTTTCAGAAAAGAAAATCCAGATCCCAATGTAGCCTCTTCACCAATAAGAATGCCCTAAGCAAATTATAATCCCTATAGGGGTTTTGCATTTATTTAAAAAATGAGGGAACATCAACAGGCAAGAGCCTAAATATGCAATTCTGCATTTCTAATTGTTGCAGAAATCCTGGAAGAATTATGTTGTAAAAAAGAAAATCACCTCTGCAAAAAAGAGGGGTGGCATGTCATTTTGGTGCCATCTTTCTTTTAATTGACCAAGAAATAAATTTTCATGCATGTGGATGGCTTAGGAAGGATTACTAAACTATAATGAGGCTAACATTTCTATTATTTACCAAAACACAAGATGAAAGTTAAAGTAAATAGGTGTTTCAGCTTTAACAAAATCCTGGGCTCTAAAAAGTCAGCGTTTAAAGAATAAATGAGTGAATTTATTCTATGGCAAAGACTTAACATTCTTTTTTACCCCCTCCTTTTCACATCCACCAATAACTGACTAGCTGAAAATATCACAGAATCAGTGAAGTTACATAAAATTACAGAAGAGACCATGTCAAAAATTTTCAGATATAACAAGAAATAAAGAAATACATTAAGTCCTTCTCCTATCTGTCTAGGGGAAGCTGCCTTTAAATGGGAAATGAATCAGCAGAGAAAGAAACACGCTGCAGTTTCTTAAATGTTACAGCTTGATAAAACCTACTATATAAAGAAAGGACCTATTATACACACAGACAATGGAAAGTTTTTGAACCAAATTTTAACAATGCTCCATTACTCCTAGCCAATTGTCAAGACTCTAAAATGTGTATTTCAAAAATTTTTTCACTGAAAATGTTAAAGGATCATTTTAGAAACTTTTTTTTTTTTGGTACCGGGGATCAAACTCGGGTCCTTGTGCTTGTGCAGCAGGCGGCAAAACCACTGAGCTAAATTCCCAGCCCTTAGAAACATTTTTTACTTCATAGTATAGTGTATGGCATCTTATAAAATACATAGGCAAGAAAATCACCACCACCATTTTACATTTAAATAAGGACCAGGGCCTTCATGAACCCCCAAAAAGAATGAAAAATTTTGAGCCTATGTATATTTTAGGAATGACAGAAGCAATCATTTTTATTGCATTCTGAAAAATGACTGTGTCCTAAAAAGTTTCAAGAACCATGCTGCAAAGCATCATCACATGCTTTATTTAAATGTCACAATTCCAATTTTCTCATAAGTCTTTTTAATATTTGTACACGTTCAAGAGACGTGAGATTTTAGCAAGAAGGCAAAAATTGTTTCTTGAGGTATGAAAAAACTCTTAAAATACATTAATTCGTGGCTGCCATGAACTGTTCTCCTCTGTGAAGCCCCTATGTCAAGCCACCCTGCCTTGAAGTCAGCTGACTATGGACTGAAACTGGTTTAGATTCAGGATTTGTTCCTAGTGTCCAAGACTTGACAAGAAACTGACAGAGGCTGATGCTTACCTACAGATCTTCATAGAACAACTAAAGCTTTTTGACAACAAGCTTCAAAACTGTAAAGATGATGAACAAAGAAAGAAAACTGAAACTCTCAAGGAGTCAACAAATAGCATGGTAGAATCAATTAAACACTGCATTGCATTGCTGCAAGAGTTGCTAAAAGTACTATTAACCCTGTAAATGCAATATATCAACCTAGTTCCTTGGAGCCTGTGATCAGCACAATGCCTTCCCAGAATGTCTTACTTCCAGAACCTGCTCAGTGTGTAAATCAGAGCAGCATCCATCTTCCCCACCCACTGGGCCTCTGTTAGCTACTTCAGGACATGAACAGACTTCAACACCAAATAGTACAGGCAGTGGGCATTTACCACCTAGTAGCAGTCTGACTTCTCCAAGCCATGTCAACTTGTCTCCAAACACAGTTCCAGAGTTCTCATACTCTAGAAGTGAAGACCAGTTCTATGATGCTGATGAATTCCATCAAAGCAGCTCATCCCCAAAGAGCTTAATAGATTCTTCTGGATCTGCCTCAGTCTTGACCCACAGCAGCTCGGGAAAGAGCCTAAAGTGTCCAGACACCACAGAATCAATGAATTCTTCCATGTCCAATGGAACAAGTGATGCTGACCTTTTTGATGCACATGGTGATAGAGATGACGACGGGGAGGCAGGGTCCGTGGAGGAGCACAAGAATGCCATCATGCACCTGTTGTCACAGGTTAGCCTCGGAATGGATCTTACTAAGGTAGTTCTTCCAACATTTATTCCCAAAAGAAGATCTCTTTTAGGAATGTATGCAGTCTTTTTTGCATATCCAGATCTGTTTGTGAGCATTAGTGACCAGAAGGATCCCAGGGATCAAATGGTTCAGGTCGTGAAATGGTACTTCTCAGCCTTTCATACAGGAAGGAAAGGATCAGTTGCCAAAAAGCCATACAACCTTTCAGTGTCACTGGACGTTACCAAATGACACCGAAGAGAACACAGCTAGTTTCAGAAGGACCTGTTCCTTGGGTTTCTAAAAACAGTGTAACATTCTGGCTGAGCTGGTTTCCCATCATCCACCAATTTCAGCCTTTTATGCTGAGTGTTTTAAGAAGATACAATTGTACAATTGTACAGAGAGATACAATTGTATCTCTTTAAGAAGATACAATTCAATGCTTATATCTGGACCAAGTCAAAGCTCCTTGGGATGTCAACTGGGGTGCACAACATAGAGCAGGGTTGTGTTTTGTGCCTAGACTATGACGAACATTACATTCTCATATTCCCTAATGGTTGTTCTTTTTTCTTTTTTCTTTTTGGTGCTAGGGATCGAACTTGGGTCCTTGCGCTTGCAAGGCAGGCGCCAGAACCTCTGAGCTAAATCCCCAGCCCTTATATTCTCTAATGGTTATGGAAGGTCTACCCTCATAGTGCCCTGGGTGAAATTAGGAGGAGGACGCAGTATTAATTACTGTAAAACAGCCTATAGTGCAAACATCATTTTCCACATTAAACCTTTCTATGGGGGCAAGAAACAGAATTACCGCTGAGATTTTTTTCTCCAAAGGATAAGAAGTCTTTTTCTTCAATTGAAAGGGAATGGAATGGTATAATGTGCACAAAGTATGCAACAGGGGAAAATACAGTCTTTGTAGATACTAAGAAGTTGCCTATAATCAGGAAGAAAGTGAGGAAGTTGGAAGATCAGAATGAGTATGAGTCCCATTGCCTTTGGAAGGATGTCACTTTCAATTTAAAAATCAGAGACATTGATGCAGCAACTGAAGCAAAGCACAGACTTGAAGAAAGGCAAAGAGTAGAAGCCCGAGAAAGGAAGGAAAAGGAAATTCAGTGGGAGACAAGGTTATTCCATGAAGATGGAGAAAGCTGGGTTTACAATGAACCATTACTGAAACATCTTGATGCTGGGAAGCATTAGGTTGGGAAATGCCAAGTTTACACCTGATGACCCAGGTGGTAGCTACACCTAATGAAGCAACAAACAATCTTCCTTTGGGAGGATTTTCTGATGCAGATGAACAATTAAAGCAGGAAAAGCTTCTTTTTTCCTCTGGCAGTTACAATTTTGACTTCAGTCCTGAGGAAACCTTCAGGATTTGAAACAAGATGTCTGCTCTTTTCCAAACCCCATGCTTTGAAAAGCATTTATAAACTCAAATCTCATACCCTGCACTACTCTAGTTCTGCTTTTAAGATATAACATACAAAGTGTTTCCTACTTTATGTATCTTGGGTTACACACACACACACACACACACACACACACACACAGATACATGTTGATGGCAGGTTTTTCATAAATACTCATCTGTAAATACTGGTTCCTCAGAGTTGTTTTAAAAAACTAGCACAATGTATCAAAAATCAAGTATTAGGAAATTTAGTTATTTCATCTATAATAACTTTATTTTAGAATTGAACTATTAAATTTATCTAAACCTGGATTACAGTTTAAAAATATATATATTAATTCATAATATTTAGAGAGTTTAACTGTGATATTAAAATGTCATGGGGTAGGTTATATGGAAAGAAAAAATAGAAGGCTCCTTAGGAAAGCAATAAAAAAAATAAGTTAAGAAACACTGATTTACACTAAAGATACAGAGTAATAACTATATTTGTGAGTGCCAATACAAAGTTACACACAGGGTCTGGACATAGCCACAGAAGCTAAGTATAATGTCTTATTTCGCCTCTTTTACAGCAAAACTGCCCTATGTGAAATGGACTCTGAAAACAGGTAAATGAACAAACAAGTATACATGTTGAATAAGCCTCTGAACTGCTCATTTCAACATTTTCCTTTCACTACATTACTACTCCCACAACACTTTAAGACATATTTAATATGTGTACCAAATATAGGCAGTAGTGAAAAATTTCAACCTCTAATAATTGAAATACTTACTTTCTTCTTGCATCCGGGCTAGAATCTGTACATCGGTTACATCATTTAGCTTATAATTGGATCCAATTGAATCTTCATCTAATTCTGAAGCACTTAACTCACTGTCTATAGAGGACTGAGGACTGAGTGGAGGGTTTCTGTCTGATGAACTTCTGAAGTTACCTAACAAAAGAAAAAAAATTCACTGTGGTAAGATAAAAGTCGAATAAGCATCTGTTACAATTAACTAGATAGTATATCTTTTGATTCAGTTCATTAGTATTCCGCCATATGTTTATAAAATCACCAAACACTGAAATTGGAAACTGACCTCACTAAGGAAAAAGAGGGCTACAGAAACTCCTTTATACACCATGACATAAATACAGAATACCTTTTCATTGAAGTATAATTTACCTAGGCTCTTGTACAACAATCAAACTTTTAAGAGTGCCTAGAAAGTAGTCAGCACTCAAATATGTGTTAGAGGATTTCAACTTTTAGAAGACAGTCCATAAAATTATGAATCTAAGCAGATGAATTTATGATGTAGTGTTTTTTCCCAAGTTCAGTCAATAACAAACACCATCATCTTTTCCCTGAATAAAAGCACCTACTTTTCCTAAACAACAAAACTAATTTGAGAAAAATTAGATTCTTTAGACATTGAAGAACAAAACAAAAAAGAAGAATACTAGGCTAATTTTTCCTACATATTACATTTACAAAATTCTTTTGCCAAATTAGTAACAGAGATCCAAGGAGTTCTGGCTTTTAGTAGTGCAGCACAAAAGATAGGTAAGCCAGATGTGGTAGAGCATGCCTGCAATTCTAGTTACTCTGGAGGCTCACAAATTCAAAGCTAACTTGAGAAACTTTTCTTTTGGTACTGGGGATCGAACTTGGGTCCCTGCACTTGCAGGGCAGGCAGCGGAACCACTGAGCTAAATTCCCAGCTGGCCTGGGAAACTTAACAAGACCTTGTCTCAAAATAAAATTTATTTAAAAAGGCTAGTGGTGTAGCTCAGGGGTAGAGTGCTTGCTTAGCATGTAAAAAAGTAAAGAAAATGACTAGATTTTAAAAAGTACTTTATCATTTTAAACAAAAAGGCAAACAAAACAGGTTAGAGGAATAAAGAATACATATGTCTAAAAGTATCTAACTTATTTCTAGAGAAATAATCATAAAATCCAAACACTGCTGCCAATATTTCTAATATAGATTTATCTGAAACACTTGTTTTCCAGAATTTTTCACCATAAGTCAGCTCCAACATGAAAAGCATGTAAGAAGAGCAAGAAGAATACAAAATAATTAACATTTATATTATCAATGAAAGAAGAGCACGTGATAGAAAAGGTACCCCAAGAATTTGAATACCTGAATTTGAATACCTTTATTTTAAACAAATATTGGAGATCAAACTTTAAATATGATATAATATTAAATAAGTAGTAAATATTACAAAATATTAGTAAGTAGTAAATAATATTAATAAGTAAATATAAAATAAAGTAGTAAATAAAAACTTACTAAGGAAAGAGCACAGTCAATAAAATCATTAGACTAAGGAGCACTAGGGAGCACAGATTTTTGACTTAGGTAAAAACTCAGTGTTTAATACCACCTTAATTTTTAAGGAAGTTGTATAAGTGAATCATAACAATAGTAGCAATATAAACTGAATGGGTGAGTTATAAAGAAAAGTCAACTACATAGGAAGTATCAGTCACAGAGCCAGAGCAGAACATATTTTACTCAGTTCAGAGTAATCACTTAAATCACTTACAGCACCCATCTCTCTTCTGGCACATTCGCATATAACCTTATATTATTATTTAACTGCAATATCAAAGCTTGTTAAAACTCCTTTAAAAAGAGTTTTTAGCAATGTAGCTTTTACAATTGATGTACACTGTTCAATAAGGATCCACTGATTAAGGATCAAGGTTGTGATACCATTTAATTAAACAGGATTGAAAAGCTCTGAAATACATACTAGAGAAAACTGTATAGACATAACCCACTTACTTATCTTTGTAATCTTAGTGGCTTGTATACCACACCTGGTGGAAAGTGGCTCCTCAAGGAGATTCTCTAGCCCACTAGTGGCAAGCCTATGGCACCTGTGCTGCAGCAGGTTGTTTTTATCACTGAAAGCTCTAAAAGGTTCACCATCACCACTCTATCCAGTTAAAAGTTTCATCAATAAAATGAACCTGAATTACTAGTAAGTTATTTTAGGGCTGAGGATTTAGCTCAGTGGTTCTGCCACCTGCCTTATAAGTGCAAGGTCCCAAGTTTGATCCCTGGTACCAAACCACCCCCCCAAAAAAACCCAAAAAATACTAGTAGGAAGTAAGTTAAACACCATTTCTTAGTAACTCCATTTTTTTCCTCCTTACCTGAATTTCCAGGAAGTATAAGCTGTTTGACTATAGGAGGTCGCACTGGGGTTGAGGATGGAGAATTAAAGCCACTACTGTATGGGCTACTGGCATTTGGACTGTAAGGACTTGTGTAACTCATAGAGTTGAAAGGATTATTATACAAATTCTGCCTCTTGAGAGCTGCATTATGAGAAGGGGAAAATCAAATTTAATAATTAAGAAAAAGTTAACATTTTATTTGAAAGGGTTTTCTATTAAAATTTCATTAAGTCATTATCTCAGTTTAAATATTTTATACTACTAAGGAAAATATATCATATTAATAATCCCAACAAAATTTTTTCATTATTTTAAACTGTGTTAAACTGTTATGCAAATAAACCAGCAGTCACACCAAAAAATAATAATAATATGGGAAGACTATAGGAAGAATATATCTTAACAGAATATTTGGCACTAAATTAATTCACTTTCACCTTGTTGCAAAATTTATTCTTTAATAACTATTCTATCAATTGTGATTGAATTTTTTTGTGTGACTGAATTTTAAAAATAAATCAAATATAAAATACTTTCTTAATTTTCTATAAATAAGTTACAAATAAGGTTTAAAAAGCTTTTCTAAAATTTGGATTTTTGAAAAAAATGAAACAATGGTAACTGTTTAACCAGGTTAAGGTCAAAACATGGGAGAATTCCCTTTTTAAAAAGAACCTCCTCAACATCTATTTTTTAAAAAGTGCCAAGCATATCAAATTACATAAATAGTACAATAGTAGGGCTAAGGTAACAAATGAAATTAGTTACTAAAATAATTTAATATTTCTTCCCTCCAACTTATTCTAATATCCACAGTTTATTCAATATTTACAAGCATAGGCAAAAGCACTGTATGGAATATTCAGACAAACATGACACGCTGCTTTCTCTCAAGAAGGTTGCAGCCAAACGCTATCATAAAGGTGCGAAAGAAGTAATTCTTTACAACTGACAAACTGGGTGAGGATACTAGGGAGACAAAACTGGCACAGCCTTGGGAGGATGAACAGTAATTTGATAGGACCTCTAAAATTAAGAAAAGTGCATACTGCTCTCATCTGTGTTTATAAGATAAACAAAAGCAGTGTCTTGAAAATGCAGAGCCTGCTTGGGAATAAGAATGGGTAAAATAACGGCCCGGGATTTAGCTCAGTGGTTTTGCCACCTGCTGTGCAAGCACAAGTGCAAGGACCCGAGTTCGATCCCTGGTACCAAAAAAACCTCCAAAAAACAAAAAACAAAAAAAAACCAAGAATGGGTAATCTCGTATGGTAAAACACAGGGAAGGGACAATACAGGAAAAAGCAACCCAGATAAGGTCACTAAAGGCCTTTTTAAAACACTATGCTCAGGAGTCTAATATTTAGTCACAATGATAAAGCTATCATGATTTTTGAGGAAGAGTGCTATGATCCAATCAGTTCAGAGGAAAAAAATGATGGAGACTTTGATGTTGAATAGACTAAACGAGGCAGTACACAGTAACTAGAAAATCAGAAGGAAAAAAAAAGAAAAAAGAAAAAATGCTAAAAATTGGAAAAAGTTAGTAAAGAAATAAAATCAGATGACTAAAGTTTCTGGTTTGCCTACTAGCGAAATAGCAGTTTGGGGAGAAGGACCACATGGTTTCTATTTAGGATGGACCATGTGATTATATACATATTCTCCATGAGTCAAGACACCACATTTTATATATATTTAGTATATAGTATGCAGCATGATTAGATAGAAGCTGAGCAGCTTGTTCACTTATCACTTTATTCTCAATATCTGCTAAAGCTTATTATCTTTTACTTGGTTGTCATTCAAGTCCTTGGACCTTTCATCTGTGCCATATTCTTTCTGTAAAATCTCATATATATGTATGACATCACTTACCATTAATATGCCAAAGACTCTCCATTATTTCTATTTCCAGTCCTAAGTTTTCCTCTGGGCCTCAGTCCCATATATACTACTACCTCCCTGTTGGTATGGGAAATGTATCCCAGAATTCACATAACAAATTTGACTTATGATTTTCTGCTAAAATCCAATTCTCTTCTAGAGGCTCCCTCTCTCAGAATAACAACATTCATCCTATCTCAGAAACTGGAAACCTAGAAACCACTGCTGATATTCATTTCTTTATATCTGATTCCATTCTTTTTATTACTATATCTTGATACTGTACATTTTTTGGTTTTCATGCATTATTCCTGCCTTATAACTCTCTCTCTCTCCAATGTAGGCAATAGAAATCAGAATTTCTCTTCCTCAAGGCAGGTCATAGAAACTCTTGATCTTTCCCTACCTTTCTGTATAGGAGCTGGTCATAAAGAAATTCTTTGACTTACCTGGTCTGATAGGTCATTACACTACTACTTCAGAAGAAGGGCCTTGCTGGGTTTCCTTATCCTGTATCCACAGACTATAGCATTACATCATACTCTCTTTGTCCAATCACACTTGAACATGGTTGTCCATGCTTCAATCATGCCTATGCAATGAAGTCTCCATAAAAACATCAAAGAAAAGGTTCAGAGAGTTTCCAAATGGCTGAACATGTGGAGGTTCCTAGGGGGTGGCACGGGGGCTCTGCAACCCTAGAACTTCCCCATGCCATCTCTTCATCTGTATCTTTTCAATATCTTTTATCATAAACTAGTAAGTTGAAGTATTTCCCTGAGTTCTGTGATCTACTCTAGCAAATTAACTGAAACCAAGGAGGAGCCATGGAACCCTGATTATAGATGATCAATCAGAAGCACAGAGAATGACCTGGGACTTGAGATTGGCACTCGAAGAGGGGAGGGGGCAGACTAAATCTGTGGGATCTGAAGCTGCCTCTGGTAGACAATATCAGAATTAAACTGAACTGAAGTGAATTAGAAGGAGCCCAACTGAAGTCTGCTGCAGAACTGATTGCTGCTAGCTGGTGGAGAGATATTCCCACACAGTGAGGTCACAGAAGTCTTCTGTGTTGACTGTTGTGGGGTGACAGAAGAGGAAAATGGCTTGTTTTTTCGTACACTTCCTAACACACACAGCCCAGCTATCATCATCAACTCCCCTACAAAGCATCCTACATCGTGACCTCTCCAACTGCACTCCATATGACTACCATGCTACGATGACCCTTCCACAATACAAATCCAATCATGCTTTCCTCTTGCACAATACTTCCATATTTTCCTTACACTCTTACAATGAAGTCCAAAATATTTAATAAGGCCTGCCTCTATAAGAGTCTGGCTCCTACACATCTTTCTGACCCTATGTCACAACTCTCCCTTTTCTCCAGCCATGCTAGCTCGTTCTAGTTCCTCACACACACTATGCTCTCTTTCACACAGAGCCTTGGCACATCCTGTTCTCTCGAAAATGCCTGGCTTCTATTTCCTCCTACCTTAAGTTTATCTGAATCTTCAGGGATCAGGTCAATCACCACTTCTGAAGAGAAAAATGCCTACTTCTCAAAGCTCAAAGTATTATATGTCATTCTTTCGTTACATATCACCATTTATAAAGACTGCCAGCCATAGTGGTGCACATCTCTAATCCTAGCACTCAGGAGCCTGCGGCAGCAGGATTGCTGCAAGTTTGAGGCCACCTTGGGCTACATAGTGATTTCAAGGCCAGCCTAACTGAATAGTGAGATTCTGCCTCCAAAAAAAAAAAATTATGAGGATTATTTATAACAGTAAGTTTCTCCAGCTAGACAGAGGTATAGTGTTGTTTTTTCTCATCATGTATCCACCATCTTTTTCTCAAAGTCTGATTATATAATAGGTTCTCAATAAAAATTAATTGATATATGAATGACTATATGAGATTAATTTGAATATAGATGAGTCTAGGCACCACAGAAGTGGATTAAGCAATACAGAGAGATGTGAAGCAAAAGATGAGGACTGCCTAAATTGAAAAGACTGTCAGAAGATTGGTAGAAGGAATGGGAAGTTATTATTTATTATTATAAAATTTCAGTACAAATAGGATAAAAACCTCTGTCGAGATGAACAATGGTGACAGTTGCACAGCAATGCAAATGTACCTAATGCCACTCAACTGTACATTTAAAAACTGGTGAAAATGGGAAATTTAATGCTACATAAATTTTACTACAAAAAACAAAAGATGGTGACCCAGGTTACAGCTCAGTGGAGAACACTGGACCAGGGTTCCACCTCCAGTACCATAAACAAAACAAACCAAAAATAGAAAAAACAGCAATCAAATAACAAAAATGCGAGAAAGATAAGAAGAATTGGAAGTACCTTCAAAGAGGACAGAAAACAGTAGGTAGGGTAAGAGAAGGTAAAAATGATAATGCACTATAGTAAAAACAAGAAACGTTTAGGAACAAGTGGTAGCATATAACAGAAAAGGTTTAAGTATGGCAGGGTAGTAATTGTTCTAGGATATAACATCTAAGGTCCCAATAAGCTTTACTTTATCAAAAAATATACTTAAAAGACAATATCCTTGGAAAAAGACTGGTTTAGGCCTATAAGTTCAAACTTTCAACAGCCAAGTTATTTTTTCCTTAAAAATTTTAAATGTATATATTTATGGCTGTAACAACTGTTCTCGGTATATAGCTACACAATTTAAACAGATCTGATGCTTGATTACACCTACTTTTGGTTCAAGAGTAAATGCCTCACTTATATACTCCTAAGATCTTTAATACCCTTGTCATAATAAAGCAAAAAACCACTCACTCTTTTGAGGTACAACAGCTTTACTTTTTCCCTCAAGAACAGGTTACTAGGGCCGGGGATTTAGCTCAGTGGTTTCGCTGCCTGCTGCACAAGTGCAAGGACCCGAGTTCGATCCCCAGTACCACAAAAAAAAAAAAAAAGAAAGAAAAAAAAAAAAGAACAGATTACTAACTGATAATAGTTCCTATTCCTTAGCATGTTTCACACCAGGGGTTGGTGAACTGTAGCTTGCAGGCCAAATCCAAGCTATCACCTGTTAATGCAAATAAACTTTTACTTACAACCATACCCATTTATTATGTATTATTTATGGCCAAAATTAAACTGGCTCTTTTCAGAAAAGTTTGCCAATCTCCACTTTATATGTTTTAATTACTTATTTTGTGATTCCTCCAATCAGACTAAAAGTTCAGAAAGGGAGGGATTTTTAGTCTAGTATATCCTCAGAGCTGAAAACCTTGCAAAGTAGTAGCTTCTTAACACTTACAGTTGGATGATGATAAGTCCTAGTTAAACTGTAAATTATATTATTTCCAAGGTGAGATATTCAAAGTACTAGAAAACTGTTCCTAGAAATATTATTTTTTTGAAAATTATATAGGCTATTGCTTTTTCAAAAAGCCTTCTTTACAAAGAGGAAATGTATGACTTTAGTATTAAAACACTCATTCAGAAGCTCTATAATAATATACTGTAAGTAATCTGCATATTAAAACCATTACTTCTTATAGCCAAACTTCACTTTACTGTATGCCATTTTAACTGTTTAGCTAGTCTCCACTCTGCTCCCTTCGGGATTTTCAGTTTAAATTCTAACTAAAGAGCACACACATTTTATAATAAAACTAAAACTAAAGTAAGCAATTTAAAGTACATGGCTGCTAAGCAAATACAAAATGAAAGAAGAAAAAACAAAGATTTTCAGGATTACTAAAAATGTATCAATTCTTTTTTTTACAATTAAAGTATTTTTAATTAAAAATTTTTTATTAGTACATGTTTGCAGTACATAATATTTATCATGGGGAGGCGGTATATGTACATAATACAACTTGATTCTTTTTTTGTCTCATTTCTCTCTCCTCCCTCCCTGCTCCTTCCAACTGTTGGTCCCCTTCCCATTTGCAAAAGCTCTACTTGTATCATTTTTTCCTTTTCTTTTTTTTCCCAACCCCTTTCCCTCCCCTCCTTTCCTCACCTCCATCACTTGTCCCCCATCCATTTGGAAAAGATCTCCCTACTTCCTACTTACTTCTATTTTGCACTCTCTCTGTTTTTTTCAGTTTCTTATATAAAAGAAACTTATTTGAGCTTGCATCTCTGACTTATTTCACTTAGTACTGTATTATGGTCTCACGTTGCATCCATTTTCCTACAAACGCTTCTAGTTTGCCTTTTTATGGCAGCGTAGTACTCCATTGTGTATAAATAACATTTTCTTCATCCATTCATCTGTTCCAAGATTTAGTTATCATAAATTGTGCTGCTATAAACATGGGTATGCACGTATCCCTGTAATATGATAACTTTAATTCTTTTGCAAAGATATCTAGAAGGGGAATGGCTGGGTCAAATGGAATTTCTATTTTTAGTTTTTTAGGCATCTCCACACTTACCATGTATCAATTCTTCTTTTTTGGTGCCAGGGATAGAACTCGGGTTCTTGCACTTGCGAGGCAGGCAGCGAACCACTAAGCTAAATCCCTGGCCCCATGTATCAATTCTTTACTACTTGAGTATTTTAGAAAAGAACAACAGTCTTAAAAAAGACTGACAAAATTTCCAAGAAAAAGTCAGTATTATTTTTCTTACATTTCTACCACACTGGTATGCTACACTAAATGTAATAAATAGGCATGGATACATGCTACTATTTGTGAATGCTATTAAATAAAAGCATAAGAACAAGTTGAACCTAAATTATCAAGTGAAAGAAAAACAGTAACAAAAGGAAAGCTAGGCATGGTGGTACATGCCTGTAATCCCAGCACTTGGGAAGCCGAGGAAGGGGGATCACCATGAGTTTGAGGCCAACCTGAGCTACAGAGAGAGTTCAAAGCTAGCCTGAACTACAGAGTGAGACCCAGATCTCAAAACAATAACAACAAAAAACATAGTAAGGAGAGGAAGTAAGTACATTTAACACCTACTGTGAGCCAGGAAACATGCAGGACTCTTTCACATATATACCATTTCATCATTAAAATAACTTTTCAAAAAGTTTATCATTCTTATGAGAAAAATGAGTTCACACAAATTAAAAAATATGAAGAGTCACACAATAATTATTTGCTAGAGTAAGAAAATGTCTCTTTTGTTCTTCACCTGTATCTTTCTACCCAATCAGTTTCCCCAGGGTGTGCTATGTCGGGTGATTTTTAGGTGATACCAAACAATTTTTATTACCAAACTATTAAAAGTTGTTTGTTTTAATTCACATTAGAAAAAAATAACATAAAATTCATAATTTCATGGGCACTATCCCTTAGGATGAGGCTAAAAAAATTAGATATTTAAAAAAGCTATTAAGCAGATGACAGAATAGCCCTCATGAGGATATGTATAACGAGATTTGAAAAATGCTAGCAAGCAAGGAATTGCCTTCCTAAGAATTTATCACTCAATATTTAAGTTTTCGTTTTGACTAATGAAAACAGAGATAAATTTGTAAGTGAAAATATAGACGTACCTGACATAGTTTGATCAAGTTTGTGGATAAGAGACTTTTTAGCACATTCAACATCAGGACTTGGGTAATCCAAAACTTGCCTGCACCAAACTAATGGACTAACTGATTTCTGCACGGGTGTAAGTTTTTTCTTTGGTGATGAATATAGCCTAGAAGAAAACAAAAGCACATTATTAAGCACATAGTTATAAAGCAGGGATCCTTACATATAAATTTAAAATGGGGGGAGGTTAAAAGTGATGGAGCAGGTTTAAACTTACCCAAATTTACTTAGTGCACAAGAAAATGATATTATTATAATCAATATAAATCCAAATTTCAAGCACGAAATGAACCCAAATGAGGCATTTCAAAAATGCATCTTATTTTTCTTTAATTACTAAAAGTTTGAGGAAACATCTTTCTTTACAACAGTTTACAGTATTCTGTTTTCAAGAGAACTTGACTAGCTCCCTAATATAGTCCCATCACAATGTCCAGCCTTGGGGGCAGAAGAACAAGCTAAATATTTTGCTCTCCAACTCTTAATTTTTCTTCCACCACAGAAACACAAAAATCTGCCATACATAGACCTACACTCTGTAATATTTTCAAACAGTTATCTGAGAAATACTTTAAATCCTCAGCAACAACATCAATCAATTTATGAAAATACTTCAGTTTTAAAATGAAGAAAGGGATATTTTATAGGCTCCTGAAGAAAGTATAGCGAAGGAGAAAAGTGAGCAGAAGATAGGGAGATGTGTACTTAAGTTTTCTACTTTAGTTTCTCAGAACAGTCCTGGTTATGTCAACTGCTGATACTTATTTTCAAGAGTGTCTGCACATGAAAAATATGAATAGTTTCTTGATTTATAATCAGGGAGTTTTCATATTAAGACATGCTAGGTGGAATTTATGAAATAAAATTATTCTTTGATATATCTATGTAGCTAGATGTCTCAATAAGGCAAAGCTGACAATTTCACATTGTACTTTAATCAAGTTAGGGCAATAATGTGAAGTGCTGTTCTGGTGTAAATACTTAAATAAGTACATGTCTACAGTATAAGAACAGATAAACTATTTTTTCCTATTTCCTATCCTATTACTTAAGGTCTATCATTCACATTAGCTTTTATCAGGATAACCAAGACTAATGGGGTAAATGATCATTTCTTTATTCCATAGTTCACATTCATTTACACAAAAATATTGAAATAGAATCTCATTTTATAAAATAACTTATCAATAAAGTGAAACTAATAGGGTTCTTTCTTTTTCCAATCTAAATACTGCAAATGCTCCTGTAGCAAATCTCTATCTCAGTATTTTCACTTTAAAAATCACAGGAACTGTCATATACGGATACTATGTTAGCAAATATAAAGCAAGTAAACCTCTATAGATAAATAATAAACATTAATAAAACCACTTTGGTCAAAAAACATTTGGTTGAGGTTTCAAACTACTTCTAAATCTGCCAGAGGATGCATGAGCTGAGCTGTATCACACAACTTGATCCAAGTACTGATCTCCCTTGGTCTTTAGGGAGAGTCAGTTAACACCCTGAATTTTAAAAGAAAATTTTAAATAAAAATACTTGCAATTAATATACATATTATCTGCATTATTTCTTAGAAACACACAAATTTCTTCAAAATAGCTACTTTGCCTACTAAAATCATTTTTTCACCAACATTTTTGAATTTTAAAAATCATAGTATATGGTTTAATCAAGAGAAACACACTTCTGATGGACACAGACAATTCACTGATGACTTACGCAACGTAAGAGAGATTAAGATTTCTCAAATTGGGGCCAGGGGTTTAGCTCAATGGTTTCGCCGCCTGTTGCGCAGGCGCAAGGACCCGAGTTTGATCCCCGGTACCAAAAAAAAAAAGATTTCTCAAATTTTCACTTAAAAAGCTTGAAACATTATCACATTATCCTATTACTCTAAAACTGAGTCAAGGGTGACTGAATAATGGGGTGATATATTCATTAATGGATTAATCCACTGAGGTTCACAGCTGAATGTGCATTAGGAGGCAAGGGTGGGGCTGGAGATGGGTCACTTGGGACATTGCCTTCAGAGAGTGTATCTCTTGCTGGTACTGTTCCCATGGGCTCTCCTTCCCAAATACATATATGAAGTGAGCAGTTTTGGTATATCATGCCCTTCCACCATGATGTTTCCACCTTGTAGCTGGGCCACCAAGACTCAAACCTCTGAAACGGTGAGCCAAATAAACTTTTCCTCCTCTCAGTGGTGAGTATCAGGTATTCTGTCCCAGTAATGGGAAAGCTGACAAATACATATAGGGACTTGGTATATAAGAGAAGAGGCATTATAAATTAGTGAGGGAAAGGATGGACTATTCAGTAATAGTGCTGGGACAAAGGTAGGCGGATGTAAAATTTGATCCCTACCTCACAAGAAAAACTAGAGTAAAACTGAGTCATAGAGGTCCAGTGGGGAACTGAGGCTCCACTCCAAGAAATAATTTGGAACTAAGGCATATTGTCTCCCCTATCCCTGCCCCATCATGGGTTTGCAGGGCCCAGTGGGGAGCTGATCTTTTACCCTATTAGTGTGTAAGGAAGTGGTGTGAGCCAGTGCTCCATTTTGGCTGAGATGGTAGTAGCAAGTCCTGGTAGGAAGTTGAAAATTTATCCCAATCTAGATCCACAAATTACACTTACATAGGGTGACTGCTTGCTAAATGAATAAATATGGTGCTTAGTGTCATAACACCCAAAATGTCCAGAATATGATTTGAAACCACTCATTATACTGAGAACACAGTTAAAATAAGGACAAAGAACAGAAACAACTGAGTCAAACAAACACTAAGGCAGGAGGAGCACGAGTTTGAGGTCAGCTGAGAATACACAGAGAGCTTGAGGCTGACCTGAACTATGCAGTGAGATCCTGTCTCAAAAAACCAAACACACACACACACACACACACACACACACACACACAGAGAGAGCAAAATGACAGATATAAAACCAACCATATCAGTAAGTATATTAAATATGCAGGGACTATATGCTCTCAAAAGGCAGACAGACTAGATTTTTTAAAAAGACCCCTTGGGCCAAGGATTTAGCTCAGTGGCACTGCGCCTGCCTCGCAAGCACAAGGTCCTGAGTTCAATCCCCCGTACTGCAAAAAAAAAAAAAAAAACCAAACAAAAAAACCCCAATAATATTTTGTCTACAAAAGAATCACCTTAGATTTAAGGACACAA